TCCGGTACCGGGAACCGAACTCACGACCTTGCGCTTGCCAGGCAGGCGCTTTGCCGCTGAGCTAAATCCCCAGCCCCGAAACGTACATTTTAGTGTCAAGAACTGGCACCTACAGACCTTAGTAAGAGATCAACTGTACATCCTACAGACCTTAGTAAGAGATCAACTGTATAAACTAAAATAACAAATATAAATCTTTAACACAAAGGTAACAGTAAGATCTAACACAGCTAGTTGTCTTTTTCCAAGTAAAATATACTTAAACTATGGAATTTGCAGATCATTCTCATAATCACCATCTACAGAAAATCATCAAACTTTTTCGTCCCGTAAAAATCTGCCAATCACACTGACGGTTATTTCCCTCTTGTATTAGTAAATAGAATGTGTGGGTTTTTATTTTCTGCAATTTTAAGAACTTAACTCCAAATTTACAAATTGTTTGACAAAACTGTTCGAGCACTTAGACAAATATAGGTATGACAACTGATTTCCTCACATTACTAGGCACATATAGCATTGTAAATTTCATGTACATGAATGATTAAGTAATGAAAATATTAATAAATTATTGAGGTATCAGAGTTTCTTTTTACTGGTATGATTTATAAATATAAGATTCAGTAAAATAAAATGTTCCTAAGCTAATGTTTGACTGTTAGAGAAAGTAATTCTATTGTATATAGAAGAGGAAAAATACTAAGGAACAAGCCTCTCCAGAATGTGTTTCTTTTTTTTTTATTATTTTTTTGTCTTTTTTCTCAGACAGGGTCTTGCTATGCAGTTCAGGCTGGCCTTGAACTCACTTATGTAGCCCAGGCTGGCCTTGAACTCGCAATGATCCTCCTGCCTCAGCCTCCCGAGCGCTAGGATTATAGGCATGCACCACACCAAGCGCGGCTCCAGAATGTGTTTCTCATGTATTTTCTTTTCTTTCTTCAAACATTTCCTTTTGTAGTTGTAGCTGTTTTGTTTTTATTTGTTTTGGACATATTCAATACTCTGATTAAAGAAAATCCTTCACCAAAACATTGTCATCTCTACGAGGAAGTATCTGTGCCATGAATAGCTGAACATTTTGGATTTTTATATTTTGTATCTCTATAGTGTAATATACAGTCCCACTTTTTCACAAGCATAATTTGCTCACATGCAAAATTCTTTTGAGAAAGTAAATAATTTAATTTAAAGTTACTCAGTTTTGGTCCAATTCACCTTTACGCCTCTCTTCTGGAGAGAAAGCAGAGCAAAACAAAACAACTCTGAACACCCCACTTCAGAGCTAGACCTCCATCAGCCAAAAGATTCACCTCCCCAGTTTCATTTCTGGAAATTCTTATATAACCTGAGGTAACAGGCATCCTGCTGACCGGATCCCGGAGAGACAATATTCCCCCTCAGTCTGACACAGAACAAGTAAGCAGGCTGCCAGACCGTCAGCCTCGGAAGGGACTACTCCACAGAGCCCTCCCAGCGGTATTCAGTATAAACATCTTCCTTTTCTTTGGCTTTTAGCCACAGTCTCCCTCACCTTCTGAGTGTTATTTCAGTCCTGTTATCTTCCTGCCTCAGAAGAAAATTAATAAACATAACAAACCTGAGTAATCTGGACTATTCAGTGGAGAATGAACACAGGAAGCAAACCTCCCAACACGTGGTTTTTCTGCTCTTTCACTTTCTATTTTTCTAAAATCGTCACATAATTTCGAGAAGACTGAGTGACAGCCACAAAATTACTTTTCAGAAAAGGATATTCATCTGGGATACCAAGTTTATTAAAATAAATCAACTAAGATCACTGCATCTTTGTACTTTCTTCCTGGCAGTTTAGTCACCAAGGGAATGTGGCTCCATGTCACAAGTGCAGGACCAGCAACTACCCCTAGTGCTCAGGACATGAGAGCTGCTCAGAGGACAGTCGCGAGTACAAGCAAGTAGAAGTGCCTTTCTGTCCATTTGCTTTGTTGTTATTTAAAAATATTTGCCTCTAATGAGATTGTACTATCACTTGCCCTATTAAAAGCTATCCAAAAGTACATATGATATATTGTCAAAGAAAATATTAAGGAAGGTAAAAAGTTTAACAGCACTAAATGTAAGTATCAAATAAAACAGTAGGTACCTAAAACTAATTTTTACACAAGGAGAGATAAAACCACTTGCAATCATCCTCACAATGTGCTACAATTATATTATCTTCTGCATATGAAGCTTAACTATGTCAACTGCTATTGCCTGTGATAACAAAAGACAGTGTTAAAAAGAAAATCCTGTAAGCTTTTTACGTGAACATATTCTTCAAATGAATTCATCACTAAAAAGGTCACTACTGTGATTCTGTCAGTTTCTACACTCTCAAACAGATATTTAATGGGTAAAGAAGAGGTCATCGGCTGGGGATATGGCTCAGTGGCACAGTGCCTGCCTGACAAGTATGAGGCGCTGAGTTCGATTCCCGTACCAAAAAAGAAAAAAGAAGAGGTCATAGGCAATGGTGCTGTTTATCAAAAGGACCTATGCACCTGGCTTCTGCTAGTCTAGCCCCAAATTCAGAATTCCATGGGAATTCCATGGCTTTTTCCTACTATCAGTGAAAATAGCTAAAATAAAAACTAGGATTGATTAGTCTTTGGGAGAGATAAGAAATAAGTATTTCTCTCTGTTTAAGTCACATGTATTTTTACTCATTTAAAAGCAAATGTGTTTCTGTGGTACTAGGTGCTCGGTATGCACCGAGCCCCCAGTGAGGACAGCAGGCAGGGACTGTGCTGCCCCTCATAACTGTACCTGGTCTGGCTGTGCAAAGACAGCAGTCACACCTTAGCCACTGATGGGACCTTTGCAAGCAGCAGGGCCTGTAACTGTTCTCGGGGAAGAATGATTCCTCACTGTCCCTTCCAGAAGCTGAAGGGTAGAAATGGTAAAAGCAATGGTGAAAAGAGATTAGGAATTTTTCAAATCTCATTTCGTTCTATGTCTGGCAGTCTCACTTGTCCTGCTTCTTAGTAGTATAAATTCTCTAATTATAAATGTAAGCTTATTTCCTTAATCATTATCTAGAGACTGCCAGGAGGCAGGTGGAGAGTCAGGGGGTGCAGTTTGCTTCTGCTTCTTGTTTTTGGTTCCTAGAGAGGGTGGACCTGGAGTGCGTCATTTCTTCCAGGCCCAAGGTACCCGCCCCAAATGTTCTCAGAGCGGATACTGAGACATTCAAATCTGCTTTCCAGGGCCCCTCTTGTTGCCTCCCCTTCCCACCTCCTTGCATTTCCAAGTCAGCTTCTTGCAGGAAGAAATCCTGGTTTAAAAGGTCTTGTATTGAGTCAAGAATCGAATTTGGAGAAGGAATGGATAGATCTAAAGCAAAGAGTGAGTACCCAGATGTGCCCACATGAGACGTTCCTCTGATAATGTCCCCAGTCATACCTGGGAGACCAACCTTAGCAAGAAATCAGATGGAGGCCCAAGAATGCAGAGGGGGCACCCACCACTCCTGCCTTCCTCAGCTTGTACCTCAGACTGCAAAGAACCGTCCCAGGCTCTAACTGGCCACGTGTACGTGAGCCAGCTCATGAATGTTTCCATAACTACCTACTGGACACAATCCAGGGTGAAAGAATAATAAAATAGAACATTTCTCTTTCTTTAGTGTGAATTATCATCTCATACGATATTAATAGAATTCCAGTGAATTAGTATTTAAGATATGAACTATGACAAGAATGAATTTATCTATAAATGGCATATTATGCTCAACTACTAATGAATCTAACCTCTAAAAAGCTACTGTTATTTTTTTTAAAAAAAGAGGAATAACGTAACAAAAATAGAGCATTTAGAAACATAATGAGAATGAAGAATGGAGATGCTCTGGTACACATTCTTTTTAAAAAAACAATGGTCTTTATGATTTTCTAATTTCAAATCAGATTATTGGAGAAAAATAATTTGCATATGATTTTAGGAAATACTTAGGTTTATTCCACCAAATTACTGATAAATTAAGATAACAAAAATCCTTAGGAATATTTATTGTTCTTTGTATGTATGCATGTGAAATTTATCAATGTAGCATGATTTTTTAGAAAACAAGAGCTGTTTAGAAAACAAGCCTCATTTTACCATACCTAGTTCTTCCTCCATTGTGGAACCTTTATTGTGTGAGCCAGAAACTCCCAAAACTCTGTTGAACAATATAGAAAAAGCACTGCCCCAGACACCTGAAATGAAGCCAAGAAAGAAAATAATTTAAAACGTACCAGGATTTAAAATAGTCAAACAAACTAGTGAGAGATTTCAATCACATACCCATTAAAAAATGCAAGGGGTTTTCTTCATATTTCTTCACAACTGTTCCCATGTAAAATTTGCTTCCAAATAAGTCAGGAGCCATAAAAGTACCATATTTAGCCATACCAATCTCATAGGGACTAAATTCAACCCAATCTGAAAGCATTTTAAAAACAAGATAGGAAAATGTTAAAGAGAAGCACAGAGTAATAAATACTTTCACAATGCCATGATCGTTCTCATTCATTAGTTGTTAAAATAAAAATATTAACCAAATGCCTATTATGTATATGGCATGTGTAAAGGTTGGAGGAAAAAAGCTTATAGATGAATGATATTTTTATCTTAGAAATACACGGTGACTGGAGCAACAAGGCGCATTGTCTAAAAATAGAAGCTCAACACCTGGACAGTCTGGGTTCAAAGCCCATTCTGCTGCCCATCCTTATGCTTACTTACTTGGATACACTGTGTTACGTACACTCTCTGCCTTGGTTCTCTAAAATCTAAAATGTGAACCGAATCAGTAGGAGACTTATACGGTTGTTGTGAGGATTCATTGATAAACAGCACTAGCATGCTAGTCAGATCTCTTCATGGTTAAATGAATCATCTTTCCTGCTGGAACAACTACGACATGGTCAATAGAACACTACATTTTAATTCGACAGCCCTTGTTTTCTAAGCTGAACTACCCCAGGCAGGACATTTACTATCTTGGATTCTTATTTTCCTCCTCATTTTAAAAAATGTTTTATAGTGGCACAGGTTCTCCAAAAGTGCGATGTTATGTACTTTTAGAGCACCCAAGACCCGAAGCTGTAGCAGAAGCTGGTGTTTTCTCATGAGATTTAGCAAAAGTGAGACATTTCATTAGCTATAAGTACAGACTACTACTTTTTAGTTGCAGAATCATAAACATTAGAATAGTGCTTTAAATAGCAAACAGCAAGTAATGAAAATATAACCGGCCAGTAAAAGACTATGTTGGTCTAAGAGGAGGAGGCATAGCATGTGGTCAGTAGTCACTGAGAAATGGGTAACTAGCCTGAGCTATTCACTGTATTCATGACTTGCTTTTCTACTAACTTAAGGGAAGAGAGATATTACTAAATTCATGAAATAGCTCTACAATCAGAAAATCTTTTCTTGTTTTCAAATGTACTTCTGTTATCGAATGTATTAAACTAAGCACCTGCAGTTTCTTATGAACTTCTCCTAAAGAAAATCATTGGAAACAATGTTTTGTGGGTCCCAGGAGACGTCTTGGGGGAGGACACAATTTACCTGCAAACATCAGCTCGGAGACATCAGGTTTCACATGGAGACACGTAAAAAGAGGTAAAGGGCACTGCGCAGCATTGACTTTTTCCTTCAAGCTACTCAAGGTAATGTTCATTCTCTGGCCACAGAACAAAGAATGAAATGGCTTTAAGTATATAAACAGATACAGATCAAACCTATTTGAAATAGAACTTCAATCAAAACACTGAAAATTTTTAAATAAAAATGTCTTATTACTTTGAGAAATCTCTGGGTCTACAACCAACAATGAAAAAAAAGCTCCATGGAAATAGTTCTCTTCATTCTAAAAAAAATCATAACTCTGCATTTGGACTGGAGAATGATTTGGCAACTTTGGGCCCTGGAAACTATGTATGCCCTGGAGTCCCTGCCACAGGCTTTTCTCTATCTCTCCTGCTTTATCTTTAGAAGAAATGTCACCCTGTGGTTACGCATCAAGTGAGTTTGTTTCCTGCGGTCCATTTCCTTTTCTGACGCTTTCCAGGCCAATATCATTCTTCGACTTTTAAAATATCACTTGCAGTGACTTCCTCATCTTAAGATATTATCATGCTTGTGTGGAACTGGCAGGAAAAAAAAATAAGACTTTTCCAAAGAAAAGGAACACAAAACCATTTCTCCACACATCAAAACTGATAATCACTGGAAAGAATTAATAAGCACAACTTTGAAACATACAAGAGTTATAATGTCTGGCAGGGAAAATATGCTTGTTATACTTTGTTGAAAAAATAAACTGAGCTGAGGGACTTTCATAAAATGGACTGCATTCCCTTTCATTTAAAATATCATGGTGTACATTGTGCACTTGTATTGAAGGGATCATGGATTAAACTATGACTTACATTGTGAATTAGCGTTTCTCCTATTAACATCCCAAAGATATCAGTAAAGGTGACAGGTTGGCCAGAGCTCTTTTTCTTCCACAGAGACTCAACATATCTTTTCACTTTCTGCGGTGTGAGAAGTAGAAGGGGGTTGTGGCTAACATTCTTCATTAGCTCCTCATTAATCTCTGCTGGGCCTTTCTCAGGAAAATCAGGGTGAGAATATAAGGTTGACATGTACCTGAAAAGAAAGCAAAACATAACCAGCAAAGAGAAAGGGTATTACACAGCAGTAGCCAAAGAAAGCAGGTGTACTTATCTGGTATTAAGGGAGGAATTCACCAGTCAGAAAGGAGCTGGTATACACAGAAAGTGAAGTAGAGGACAGGAAAGGAGAAAAACACACAAGAGAATTCTCAGAGGGAGCCTTGGACATACCATGTACAGTCAAAAGGAGGGAATGTCCCACCAGGCCTACTGTCTACTATCTAGTCTGCCAGGAATGAGTATCCCTGCAAGACCATTGAAGACTGATGACACAATACCTGTGAGTCATGTAAGTGAACCGACTTGTCTGGATGCAATAGTGTTCGAGGAATCTGATAATGTGTACTCTGGCTTTCCATGATGATTAGCTACAGGCAGAAAGTGTGCTGTCCCAAGCACTGTGAGTAGCCAATGCTCTTGATAAATGCTTTCCACAGTTTCTTTTTTATTTTTCATTGGCCAAATAAACAAAATCTCAAACCCTTCCTAAGGCGAGGACTCAGAATTTCTAACTATATGAATCTAAAGGCAAAATCCCATAGAAGGTGAAGGTCTTCGTGTAAATGATTTCCTGTGAAGCCTCTTGGCCACCAGGCATTTGGCCACTTCTGGTGACACTGGAAATAACCATGAGTCTTGGTATTTGAAATCTAAACATTCAGTTATTGGCCTCTTATCCGTGAGATCTACTACGGTAGATCTCACACTAAATACAAACATTCTTCCCTTGCTTATAATATGCCTTTATCAATAAACTGTGATCTCCATCAGGAAAAGAATTTTGCTTTTCATCATCTTAGCCTCAGTAAGTAGCTAATGCCTAGTGTACAGCAAGGGTAGCTTCCTAAACTGACAGGATGAAATACAATGAAATACTCTACCACTTCACCAATCAGACAAAATAGCACATATTTTAGTCTCATGTTTTCCTGGAATTCAAGTCAAAATACTTACCATAATGGCTTATCTTCTCTTCAAGGAGAGCAGAAACCTAAGTTTTAGTGAAACCATGCTGTGTTCTAAACATCGTGCTGGTTAATGGTTCATAAGCTATCATCCTAAAGCCTACTAATGCCCTTCAATTTTTCTACCTTACAGATGAGGGGAGAAAATATGAGTAAACTTAAATAACAGGTTCACATTACCCAATTAGTAACAACAGAACTGGAATTTAAAATCAGTCTTTTTCCTCTAGTAGGATCTAGTTTGTTAGGCTAGTATACAAGATTTCCGTTCTTAGTGGCCAAATTCTTCTCATTGTCCAATAAATTAGTGTTTCTTGCTAGTTTGAGAGTTTTGAGGGCAAACTGAGAAGAAGCAAGTTAGTAAATGTTGAATGATAGATCTAAATTGGAACACATACTGAAAAAACTACCACCAATTTCCTTAAAGATGTTTGCCTTACAGTTGAATTCACAATTGTACCCACTTGTATGATAAAGATGAATAGGTTTACTTTAAACCCAAGTCTAGATCTAAAAAATACAGCTTAGAGTAGTTGGATGACAAAGTATCCATCCATTCCCATAGTTATTCTAAATTTTATAATATGATTCATCCACATGAACAAAGATCTAATTTTCTGGACCTTGTAATATGTTTAATAAATGCATAGGGGCTGGGGATATAGCTCAGCAGCACAAGCACCTGCCTGGCAAGCACAAGGTCCTGAGTTAGATTCCCAGAACCGAATAAATACATACATACATACATACATATGTGTTTGGGATAACATTGTGTTATATTTAAGGACATCATAAAAATAGGAAAATAAAACATCTTTTTTAGCCTCAAGGTGATCAGCTCTGAAAACATTCAGAGTACGGTTGATTTTTTTATGAGAATACTAAGAACAAATTCTTAACCAGCTTTACTATCAAGAATGATTCTCCCTCTATGGGGGACTTCTCTTAATTCATTGAAACTGCATTGCGTGACTGTACATTGTTTCCATTTTTTTCTTGAATTCTAGAAAGTTTAAATCTAAACCTGTGCCTCAAGCTTCCCAATGCTATATATTACAATGTGAATCATGAATCTAATTCTGAAGTCCATTTCCTTCCTTTATTTCTATATTTTAATGTGTCCAATCCACTCATTTTATATTAAGATATATTAAATGCTTATTTAATGCATCAGGTTAAACATGAGTGGAAGAACCTAAGACTCAATGTAAGTAGCAATCAATTTAGTCACTGAATATTTTTAAAGCCAAGTGAAAGGAAATTATGATTGCTCTTGGAGGTTGTCATTCTTTCCTGTACCCAGAAGAGTGAAAAATCATAAGATTTTTCAAATCTTACTGACACTATATTGACTTTGCTATTCTGTCTATATTTAGCTGGCCTTCAAATGAATCAACTTATGACCCTAACAAGTACCTCTGCCAATCAGTTACTGCTAGCAAGATCTAAAGGGTGCTCTGCGCTCTTCCCTTCTTCCTCACATTAGCAACTAAAAGTAAATTAAGAAAGACCTTCTTTAGGAGGCAGGGCTTGCTCAAAATCTCAGACTCTGTGCCACAGTTAAGAAGTAGATATGTCTAAGGGGACAGAATGTATGTGGATGTCAGCCCGGTTATCTTTATTGGTTCATGTAGAATGCCTAGAATCCGTTTTTGCCCCCTGAATGGCAAAGCAAAGGCCCTAATCTCTACCTCTTTCTTTCCCTCTCGGGAAGTAGTTGACTTTGAATAGAAACCTTAGTAGGAGCTAGGCATGGCGGTGGAAGCCTTTAATCCCAGCACTCCAGAGGCTGAGGCAAGAAGATTGCCCTGAATTCAAGGCCAACTTAGACTACACAGTGAGCTCAAAGTCAGCCTGAACGACACAGCAAGACCCATCTCAAAAAAAAACAGAAACAAAGGGAATGAGAAAAAACCTAGAATACCTCTGTTACTGGCATTGGGTTAATGGTCTTTGTTGTCCAACATTTATGAAAACATACCCCTTAGAATTTATACTGGATGTTCTATGATGTCATTGTGGTTACATCCAAGACTTGGTTTTGGCTTTGGTGATAGCTAAAAATGGAATAATATGTGACAATTCATTTTTCTGTGCAGCTCTTAGAGCTTAGATGGCTTCTTTGGTTGTCTGTTTTCTTAGTTTTATGAAGGCAAGGTTCAGGTATAATTGCTTTTGTGAATATGATATCATCTAAAGCACACTAATATCTCACTTTTTCATTCCTTAAATTTGATCTCTTTATTACTAATTATTTCCTAATTATATCTACCAAGTTTCAAAAGGTCAATGTCTATGAGTACTGAATGAAAGAATTTTGTATTTATTTAATCTATGAATTTGTTAATATTTGCCTCTTATTTATCAACATATTTATATGATGGGACATCTCATTCTTTCATCTGAATGCATTTGACATTAAGTGTAAAATTTTAAGTCTAACTCAGGCCAAAGAGAAGGAAATTTCAGTTCAGTCCTCCAGTTCTCATGGTCAGTGTTTTAAAATATCAGTAACTAACTTCTAAAACTTGCTGAATCACAATATTTAGAGATATGCACTTAGAATATTTTCCTTAAAGTGCCGAAGTGATTCTCATACACAAGTAAGATTTGAAACGATTTGAGAAAACCATCTACATTTGTAAAGGAAAAGTACTGAAACCCTAAAAAATTTCCTAGACTAATTTTTTTCCAATAAAATTCAGCTATTTTGCATCCCTTCATTTAGCCACTAAGCCAGCATCCTGAAGGAAATCGGGCACTGTGCTCAGCTGGTGAATTAGGGACCAAGACAAGATTATGGCCCACTTTAAACAACATAGTATTTCCTGCATATATACTGGTCTTTAAACCTCTCACCTCTTAGGTGACAACTTCTATCAAAATTATTTCTTTTTCAATGGTCTCGGAATTCTCCATATTGCTACATGGAAAATCCTCATTCGCAAATTCTATTTTAGTAAATTCAGTGGATTGGTCCCAATTGTTTATAGATGCAGAGATACATTCATTGCTCTTTAGATGGTAATACCATAAAACAAGGCAATTAATACCCAAGAGCTCCTTTTGATGCTACAGTATCTATTGAGAAAGAGAGCTGTGCTAACACTCTAAGAGAACACAGAGTTATTACCATGATTCCCCTGGTTCACACATGCCAGGACTCCAGGCTGGCTAATACCCTATTTAATGAAAGGCAAGTATCATCCAAAAATAATTTCAAAAATAATTACCATAAATGTAGTAGCAGTTACAAGGGAAGCTTTGTCCTATCTGGAATTCTCTTTCCTGATCATAGAAAGCTTTGTGGGAGGTCCAGAGCTTCTGTAGATATTTCCGTATTACTTCATTTATGCCAAATAATGGTCATATATCCGCACAAAATAAAAACTTACACAACACAGAAGTGTAATTTGTTTTTTCAAGTCTTTCCGAATTCCTCCCTTTGAACTTTTTACTTTCTTACCAATCCTTTTACAAGAGAGAATCATTAGCATGAATCATCCTGACCACTTTGTCTCAGGAAGCGCCTCCTCTTTTCACGGTTAAAGCCTTCACTTAAGCTCCAAATTTTATTCTATTTGTGCCTGTATCTTTTTCTGCATGGATTTCTTTTATGCCCTTATCTTTCTTCCATCTATCACACTGCACTATTTCCTTCACCTCAGACTTCCACAGAAATACTCACGTCACTCAAATTGTGAAAACAAAACAAACAAAAACTTTTCCCTCGGAACTCTATTCTTTCCTGACAATGACTACTACTCAATTTATTCTCCCTTTCAGGCCAAACTGCTTGAAATAACAGACAGCTCATACAAGGTTCGCACCCCCACCCTGTATGTTTTCCTTACATTTACTTCTGATTCTTTACACTTTCATTAGCAAAAGTATATTTATTTTACTTTATCAAATGATTCCACATGAAAATCATGAAAGTTTTCCAAACCCAGAGCTCAGTTCTTTTACAGTACCAGCCAGAGCAACATCCACCCTTGTTCTCTATTTCTTGTCTTTTCCTGGCCTCTCCTAAGGAGGGCTTCTTTTAGGGGATAATGAAGTGTCTATTTTTTTTTTTCATTTTGTCTATTAAATTTTGGAAATTTTGGGGTTCTACACATTAAATTATTGGCGGCCAGAGCTGAAATGGTAGAAGTTAGTGGAACTGCCAAGGATGAGTGTTTCTGTATAACAGAGCAAGATAAAGATTCTGGGGGAAGCTTCCATTAACGTGGAAGCAGTAAAGAAAATACAGTGGTGAGAGCAATAAGCAAAAATGGAACAAGGCCAGAAAGGCATGACAGGGACAATTTGAAAGAACAAGTCAATGTGTGGTATGCCACAACCTTTAGCCCCTCACCCTGCAAAGAAGTGAAGGAATATAAAAACTTCATAATATACTTCATATAGCTCCCATATTATTATTCATATAGTTCATATTTGGAAACTAAGTGACCCGTGAGTAAAAATCTATTATAAAGATTTAAACAGTGAGTAGCCTTTAAAGAAATGGAGTATAAATGGGGCTGGGTATTTAGCTCAGCGGCAAAAGCGCCTCCCTGGCAAGCGCAAGGTCGTGAGTTCGGTTCCCGGTACTGGAGAAAAACCAAAAAAAAAAAAAAAAAAAGAAATGGAGTAAAAAAGAGAAGGCTAATCTTTAAGGAAGTAAGACTTTGAAAGGTAAAGAAGTTACATATCTGTAGAAAACTATGTGCATATTTTAAAATCCCTTAATTATACCTGTGAAGTATAATTAACTTCCTAATGACACTTGACAGGACTTGTTTTCACATTTTTAATGGGAGAATATAAGAAGATATTCACCCAAATCCACAACCAAAGCAATGATTGAAGCTCTAATTCAGCCCAAATGTAACCTAATTACACCTCCAAAGCAGCACTCAAAGCCTAGACTTCATTAGTTTAAGAAAGGAAGCTCCTGAAGGGTACTAGTCAATGATGGACAACGGTGACCTTAGCCGAACTTGAGTATAGAGAAAGAAAACTACTCAAATAATATTGTTTAAAAAATGATTAAGCAGAAAATGTAATGTAAGGGTCCAAGTCTTCCATCTCATTACTCACTAAACAGGCAGGCGCCTGCTCCTTCCTTCAAGGGAAAGAATAATGATGGGCTACACCCTCCTTGCAGAAGAGATAAATCATTTTGAGGGTACATAAAAAAGAAGGTGACAGTCATGGCTCTAGGTTACTATTTTTTAACAACAGAGTCTGGCTCAAAATATTTAAGAAAATACAGATTATTTAAATAAGGTGCTCTATGCAGTGAACATAGTGAGTTGTCTATGAGAAGATCCTGGTTGACGAGAAAGGATTTACAACAGGGGATTCAAAGCCTGCGTTTTGATGTTGGCTTTGCCAGTGATTTTGGACAAATTACTTGGCTTATGAGTTAACTTTTATTGAGCTAAAAAAAAGTGAAGAAACTCATATCCATCTCACAGGGAAGAAATGACACAGACACAGACACACTATGCTAGACATATAAAATATAATATTATGATATGTGAACTTTGCCATGGCTGAGTGACTAAAAAGACCTTGTTAGTCAGATATTTTGTAATAAGGTGATTCTCTAATTTTACTACTACATCTGAGCAAGAACTTTTACTTGCTTTTCAGTGTGCTTATGGGGGGTAGGCAAATGAAAGAGTATTTTTTGAAAATGCTTCATAAGTATATTCATAAAAGGCAAATCTGCAGGGCACAAATGTCGTACTTATGAGTATTATAACTCTCATCAGTTTTTACTGAGCTTAAATACATTTAAAGGGCTAGCTTTATGTTTGGTGATGTACAAATCAGTGAAATTTATTGCATGTCTGCTTCCAAAAGTTGTTTTCCTTAGTCTTTACACTGTAGTAGCTATAGTATCTTTCACTTCATTCTATTTGCCCTAAAGAAGAAAATGAATACCTAGTGAATCATATAGACTTAGACATGTTTGTTGAAAACTTACAAATCAGCAAGTTATAGAAAGATTAAATTAATTATGGGTGGAGTACGTTATTCCACTTCTGCAATCTTTTTCTAGAATTATCTTCAGCCAGTCTTTTTTTTTTTCTTTAGCTTTACTTTGTAAGTTACCAACAGGCTAAAATGAAGTAAATATATAGCAAAAGACATAACTAAATGCAGGTTTCTTTTTAAAAAAATATTCTTAAGCAGATTGTGACAACAAGTTGGAACATAATGTTCAATTTTCTAAATCCTACTTTCCATTGTTTGAGTTGAGATGAATTCTGAACCTTTGGAATAGTAAAACTAAAATTTAAAATGCATACTAACCATGTGGAGCCAGAAAGACCAGCAACATAGGTAGCACAGTCCAAAATTCCTGATTCATACAATGCCTTCATCACACCAGAGAATCCCACCATGGCCCGGAATCCCCCACCAGAACCCAGAATGGCCACAACCGGCACCTGGAATGACAAAACACAGAGATTGTACATAGAGTAAAAGGCATCATATATATTTCCTTCTCTATCAATTTTATGTTAGACATTCCACATTTTGTCTTAAAGAAGTACAAATTTCCACTTTGGTAAAGCGAAGTTTTAAAAACTAGAAAATATTTGTTTCATCTAAGACAATCAAGAATTAACGTCAGCTGAGAAGCAGGTGTTATTAAAATGACCAAGTAATCTTATTTCATAAAAATAACAAGAACAGCAATAAAACACTGCATTTATTTGACCCTTTGCAGTTTTTGGCTTGCTATTAGATGCATTATTTGACTCTCTCAGAAATTCCACAAAATGGAGTTAACAGGGAGTTCTTTCCCATTTTGCAGATAAATGCTCTAAAAGGGCGCTGTTTTTGTGTAAGATCTGATAGCTGGTGACCTGCACTTGAGTAAGCACCTCGCCTTCAACTTACATTTGCAGAGGAAACCCTTAACATTTGGTAGTGGGTCTAATGCTGGAGTTGAAGAGAGAAAGCGACGTGGTCAGACTGTTGGTGTTTCAGCTTTGCTCATACACGGATGATGCTTCCATTGCCCAGAACCGAAATCCCTGGGCACAAAGCCAGGCTGGGAGGGAAGCAGTGCACTCAGTCTTAAAACCGGTGAATTCATAGCGGTGTGTTTCAAGGACTCAGAAACTGACCCCTGAGTGCCCACTTACTAATATGATGTGTCATATTCACATATTCATGTAATGACTATTTTACAACTAAAAAGACCAAAAAGAAAATACAACTCCTAAATATGGGAAGAGAACTCTGTACAAGTTTGGTCTTCCTGGAGTTAGGCCAGTGAACGGCAGGACACTTAAGACTGAATTCCTAATCCAGAGCCCTTCTCTCATGTCAAAACAGAAGATGACAGGCATCAAACAGGATGCCAACCCGGGCCTCACTACGAAAACAAAGTCACCAATTCAGTGCAATGGAATAATTTCAATGGCTTTGAGCATTCTATTTATACAGATAAGTTTACTAGATAGATTTATAAATTTATCCATGTAAATAAATACAATGCTCTTAATCATATTTTTTTTTTAATTGTGAATAAAGCAAAGTATGTAAGTTTGTAACAGCTCGCCTGGCACGGGGAAATAAAGCTCAGATGGAAAACTAAAGTGGGTTCTATGAAGTGAGTGAATGGAGCTGGGGATACAGCTCAGTGGCACAAGCGCCTGCCTGGCAAGCGCAAGGTCCTGAGTTTGATTCCCAGTACCACAAAAAAAAAAAAAAGAGAGAGAGGTGAGTGAATGGAGTACAGTATAGCAACACCTGCAACAGTAGTTATAAGGAAGCCACCAGATAAGAAGTTGGGTCAAGGAGCATGGTTTTCAATTAGGCCCTGAAATGGTTGATTATGTAACAGTGTAATTAAAAATAATATCGATAGTGAATACTTATCATTGCTTTGTGCCCAGTATTTGGCCTAAGTTTAGTAGGCCAAGACAGACATAAGAAGGAAAAAGTACATGATTGTGGACCAGAAGACTAGTCTTACTATTACAGTTGGGAATGTACATGAGAGTTGGGGAAATCAGAATTATAAAAGGTTTAAGGCAAAGAAACTGTTTAAGGTTGATATTGCAAGAGAAGGAAGGTTGTTTATATCAAAAAGTCCACTAGGGGCCATTGAATCTATTCATCTGGTTAATTGTAATATATTACTAAAAACAATACAAATCAGATAATTTGATAATTTAAAGAGAGGAAAAGTCCTTAGTAATAAATAATACTTATTATCCATTTTCTATTATAGCATAGAGCCCACACTATTCTTCAAAGAGGAATTTAATAAGAGAAGTTGGAGAAATAAGCATAAGACTGCTAATCCTTGCATGTTCTTCTCCATATACTAATGCTTACAGAAGCTTATTTTATGTTAGTGGAATTTTCTGGAAATAATCTCTCCTAAACTGAAATTCATGTTGGAGATTCACTGTTTTCATCATTGCTTTAAAGAAGATTTTCTAGAAGACTTCACTGAGATACGTAAGTTCCCATCAATTGAAAGAAAATGCCAGATATTTATGCATAAAACTTGAATAGTCAAATAATTGTGCAGATTATAAATATATTCACTGGGGCTGGGGATTTACCTCAGCGGCACAGCCCCTGCCTGGCAAGTGCAAGGTCATGAGTTTGATTCTTGGTACCGGAAGAAAAACAAAATAAAAAAAAAAAAGAATAAATATATTCACTGATAGAGCATGAATTAGATTATTTTCATGCTTTGTATTTAATTTTCACAACTTTATGAGTCACATATTATTGCCCCCTTCTTAAAGATAAAGCAATAGAGACACAAAAATAGTATCTCCAATATGTTAAAACTAAAAAATGGTGTCTCTTTTCAAAAGTAATCTGTCCAATAAGAAAGCTGTTATTTTACTGGGCTCCATTTACATTCCAAAAACAAATATGCCCTGGTTTTACCAACTAATGCTGTGCCCTGAAGCAAAGAAAATTCTATAAAAGCTCAGTTTTCTTATATATTATTGGACTGGACACAGCAAATGACCTTGGAACTTTCTGCAACTAATACAACTCTATATTCCTTAACTCATGCAGAAATATGAATTTAAGCCTATAAAACTGTAAAAGTTTATGAACCATAAGAAAGGAAAGGCCATTACATGCATCAAGAACACATTTACGTGTCTAGCCCAATCATGGGCATTTTTACAGTATTTATTTATTTCTGAAAAGGAAATCATGTTCAATTCCACTTTTCAAAGGAGTTAAACACACATAATATCTTTCCACAGACAGAGAACTGGTAAGTACAACCATGGCTTAAGCCAGAGTATGAGACACTTAACTCCATGTTCTGTCCTCTTTGTCACTGCTGAATAAAAAAGGAATAACCATTATTGAGAAAAACTGTTGGGTGCTTAGCCAAATTGTATTTCTTACTCATGTATGGCTTCAAATAATATCAGCAGAAATTTATGCAATAAAAGAAAGCTAAATTTGGATATTTTCATAGTCTTGGTCATTCTGAAATAATGTTCAAAGAAGTAATTGTGATGTTATAAAGGGCAGCTGCTAATCCTGGCTCTCATCCTAGAAAAAAACTCAAATAAATAAATATTGTTGAGGTTTTCAGTTATATTTAGACATAGCATGTTAGTATTTGTGTATAAAGAATGTCGCAAATATTTACCAATTTTTCTCATGTGATTACAGGAAATGAATTTTCATTTACCAAAAACTCTGTGTTTTATTTTAATCTGTCCATCATGATATACAGGTGCGTAGATTAATTTCTTTCCTTGTTGAAGAAAATTCTGTGAACTGCTCAGACTTTTTACATTTTCATAGATTTTCAGACCTGACAATTACAGCGGTACCTCGGCTTATGAACTTAATTCATCCCATGATTCAGGGGAAGATGGCCACCGTGGTGTTCTTCCCCCGATGCAGAGTTTGCAAACAGAAGCAAAACGCTTCTGTTTACAAACCCAAATGTTCAAGAGCAGAAATATTCCTGAACAGAGGTACTACTGTACGGAAAGGGTATTTGTGTCTTGGCCCTTATATTAGAGTTCTCCAAAGAAACAGAACTAACTGGACGTGTTGGAGATTTATTATAAGAAGCAGGTTTAGTATAAGAAATCGGCTCACACAGTTGTGGAGACTGACAAGTGCACATGCGCAGTTCGGGCCTGCAAGCTCCAGATCCAGGGAACCTGAAGGCCCAGATGAAATCCAAAGCAAGCGCTATCGAATTCACTCCTGCTCAGAGAACCCAGTCTTTTTCTTGTATTCAGGACTGTAACTGGTTGGATGAGTTCACCCTCATGCTGGAGGGGATTCTGTTACTCAGATAAACAGTAGCTCCGGTGGCAATTCTAGCATCTTCTCCCATATAGTTCCTCATTGATTTTTGACATGTATGCATTTGTTTGCCTCATCCTGATCCTAATAGTTCAATATACTCCATAGCCAAGGGTCTTTAGGCCCCTCGAAGTGCATAACCCTACTGACTACAGTCTGAGTCTCTTTGACATCTGCTATCTAGACCACTTTCCAGCTCTGTTTCATTCCTGGGGTGTTGGTATCCCACTACTACCTCAGGTAAAAAGAAAAATTTAATGTCATCTCTTGAATCCAGAAACTTTTCCTCTGGAAACCCACACCTGCTTAGTTCATCTTCTTGAACTCCACCAAAGCGATTCTCCACTGTCTGCCCTTCAAGTTTAAGAAAAAGATAGACACAGAGCATTTTCAAATGGGAAGGGACGGGCCGGGGATATAGCTCAGCGGCATAAGTGCCTGCCTGGCAAGCGCAAGGTCCTGAGTTCGATTCCCGGTACCAAACGGGAAGGGGACCAAGAGTTAAAGGGAGCAGGGAGGGATCGGAGGGGAAGGAAACAAAAAAGTATGAAGATGTGTCATGTACATGTACAGATTGCCCACGATAAATGTAATCGTTATGTACTGCAACACACACCAATAAAAATATGTAAAAATCAACCAATAAAAAAAGTTGACGGCACAAAGCGCCATTGTCAGAATGACGGTGGAAATAAGAGGAAGAATATTTTAGGTGAAGGAAGCACAAAGAGTAGTGATTATGGGTCACCCGTGGTTGACTTCTATTACCGCCTGCAGTAACTCCTGTGCTCTGCTTCTCCCCAGTTATTCCGCTTCTCTTCCCTAGCCTTTCACTTAAGTTAAATGATAAATTTAAGTGCAGAGCAGTACCGAGGGGATATATTGTTTAAAGCCCACTTCACCTTTTTGTTTTCATCTAAAGTTACCTGTTTAAACTTAAAGATAATGTTTACAGCCACCCATAACAAGAAGCATTTTTTCTACTGTTCTCTGATGAAGCCTGGGGTATTTCCTTCACTCATTTCCACATGACCCTAACTGCAAACTTTAGTTCCCAAATAACTTTCCCCTGTTCAGGTTGGCTTATAATATAACAGAATATAAAGACTACCTAGTCACATTTCTTTTCTCCTAAAATATCTTAATCTGGATGCATCATCAGACCAAAAGCTATTAGAACAAAAAAAAAATTAAGACTGGACCCTGAATAATCATAATACATTTTTAAAAATTCCGTTGCTCAAAGTCTTCTATGTTTTGCCCAGAAGAGCGACCTCAGCCTTTTTGTTCAGGGAGAAATTATACAAATTCAAGACAGTGTTTTAACAACAAATTTGCTTATCAGATTTAAAGTCCATAGCAACAAGGTTGAAAGTGAGGGTCAGTTTGAAGAAATTACCTCACATGGACTCATAAAGCATGGAAAAATGGCAACTGATCATGAAGGAAGTAGATGGGAGAATGCCCAAGTCCGTTCTCTCTGAGCAAGGAATAGTATACATATTTCAGAAGGACTTCCATCCGAATCATGAAGATCAAGTTTTTTAAAGTCTTAGTACTTCACACAATAAACTTCTGGTCTATTAAAAACTTTTCACTCTTTGACTCATTCATTGTCCAGAGGGGAAAGCTAAGGTTATTAAATGTTATGATTTAGATCTAAAATGTGCCCCCAAATCTCGTGTGTTCAGAGCTGGGTTAGAGGCAATGACTGGATCCCTGGGTGCTACACCCATCAGTGAATGATGCGTAGAAGAGTTTGTGGGTGACAGTGCTGCTCGGAGGTGGGGGCTGGTTGGAAGAGGCAGGCCACAGAGGCAGGATCTGAAAAGATGAGTCCTTATTCCCAGATCCTCTTTCTCTCTCTTCCTCTCTCTCTCTCTCTCTCTCTCTCTCTCTCTCTCTCTCTCTTTCTGCTCCCTGGTTGCATTCGCAACTTTCTTCTGAGAGGCCATTTTCCTCTTGCCATTTCTACCATTCTACCTTGGAGCCAACCAAATATAGAGAAACCCTCTGAAACTGAGACAAATAAACCGCTTGTCTTTGTCGTTGTTGCTGCTGAGGTAGTAGAGATTATACCCAGAGCCTTTGCCCTGAGCTACATATCTAGACCTTTTTTATTTTGAGACAAGATCTTGCTAATTTGCCAAGTTATCCAGGCTGAATCAAACTTGTGATACTTCTGCCTCAGCCCTCCAGAGTGCTGGAATTCTAATTTGCATCACTCTATCCAGCTACCACTTCTCCTCTAAGTTGCAAGTGTCAACTACTTTGTCCTGTCAATAAGAAAGTGACTAAGACATTAAACTGGACAATTATGATTCCAGAGTACTGTGAAAGAAGAGCAGCAACCAAGCATCTGCTTAGTAACTACTATTTTATTGAGTAACTATTATGTGCCCTACACATTTTCTGAATGCTTTACAAGCATTTGTACTTATTTTCCTGCCCCTACAAGAAACACTACCTCCATTTCACAAGGGAAGCAGAGGTAAAATATCATGCCTAAATTCTTTCAACATTTTAATTAATATTGGGGCTCTAATCTGAATGCCATTTTCTTTAACTAAGAAAAAGACAACCACATGCTCGATTAAGACTTCATTATGAGTCCCCTCTCTTGAGAAAGACAACGAATTTGTTCATACCTTGAAGCAAATTCTTCAGTACTAAGAAAAAATCAAAATCTGGCCAGAAAGCAGGGGAAATGGGAACTTAAGAATGCAAGGATTAACATAAAAATAGAAAAACTTTACTTTTATTGTGACAATGAATGGTAATGATTATGTCTAAGCTGATTATTTCTGCCAAGAGAAAAATATATAGGATATAGAGGACAAAGCAAAATACCACATGAATTCAATATTTTAAGGATATTCCTCAGAAAAAGAGTGATTGCCTCATTCTACAGCACACCGGTTACAAATGTTAATACACTGTCCTTGGTAAGAACATGAAGACAAATTTTGTTTTCCCAGAAAGCTTGCTACTCTTTTCCATAACAGAAACACCTAAAAGTTACAACATCAGCGTTTCTGCAGAAAAACCGAAGCATAAATGCCAAGTAGATGTCTACACCATCGTGCTCCACATGCCTTCCTAATTTAACAGTCTAAACAAGGGTCTATTCATCCAAACCTTCTCCATAGCCAAAGTCCCTTCCTTCAGCCTGATACTGGTGTTCCTCTCTTTAGAGAACCAGAGCTCTCTGTGGCTAATTCATACCATGGATGCAATGCCAAACCACTGCCTGAACACGAGCTCTGGCTCACCTAATCTTTGATAAAGGGGCCAAACAAACTCACTGGAAGAACGACAGCCTCTTTAATGAATGGTGCTGGAAAAACTGGCTTGCTACCTGACAAAGACTGAAAATAGACCCAAGCCTATCACCGTGCACCAAACTCAAGTCAAAATGGATCACAGATCTCAATGTTAAAACAGAAACACTAAATCTCTTGGAAGAGAAAGTAGGTAAAAACCTTGAAGACATAGGGGTAGGCAGAGAGCTTATGAACAAAAACCAAACTGCCAGTGAAATAGTTCAAAGAATCAACACCTGAGATCTCAACCTACTGAAAAATTTCTGCACATCTAAAGAAATCACCAGCAGAGTAAAAAGAATACAAATTGGGAAAAAATTTTAGCTGACTGTTCCTCAGACAAAGGTCTTCCACCTAGAACATATAAAGAATTTAAAAACATCCGCCCTCCCAAATTCAAAGAAGCAATCCAAAAATGGGCAGTTGAGATGAATATACACTTCTCAGATAAATAAATACAAATGGCAAATAAATACATGAGAAAGTGTTCAACATCATTAGTCATTCGAGAAATGCCAATTAAAAAAACATTGAGATTTCATCTCACCCGAGTAAGAATGGCTACCATTAAGAAATCAACCAATAACAAATACTGGCGAGGCTGTGGAGAAATAGCAATTCTTCTCCACTGCTGGTGGGAATGCAGACTGGTGAAACCATTGTGGAAATCAGTTTGAAGATTCCTCAGAAAACTAGGTCTGAGGTCCCATTCAACCCAGCTATTCCCCTGCTGGGTATTTTCCCAGAAGATCTAAAAACATCATATCACAGCTACATATGTGCACCTATGTTCATAGCAGCACAATTTGTAATTGCTAAATTGTGGAAGCAACCCAAATGTCCATCTGCCGAGGACTGGATAAGAAAATTGTGGTACTTTTATATAATGGAATATTATTCAGCTATAAAGAAGATAAACTTGAGGCTTTTATAGGTAAATGGTCACAACTAGAGACCATACTCATAAGTGAAATAAATCAGACCTGCATGTGCAAGCACCGCATTGTCTCACTAGTGTAAAACCTGAGGGAGTTAATTTAAACTAGGAGGTATGATAGACATTGTGAAATGATAGGAAAACACTCAAGGGTAAAGGGCAACTGGGATGTGGGAAAAGAGAAGGGAAAGAAGGAGAAATTTTGTATGTATGTATATACAGGATAGTTAACATGGTTGTTCTACTGTCTTCTATTTCTTTGCTGAAAGAAATTGTCAATGAGTCCTTGATTGATCAGTATTGCATGTCTCTATCTGTTTTCATAAGAAACCACTTTGAAGATATCAATATGTAATACAAGAAGCATTGTTAATTTCCTACCACTTTGTTTGTAACTCTGTATTGTCTGTACTGTTCTTTTGCTATTTTGTAAAAGGTTGTCTGTCTATTAATGTTTTCCTCCTTTTATTTAAAAAAAAAAAAAAAAAAACATGAGCTCTGGCTTATAGAACAAAATATTCGCTGAGGCTCTACCATCCTAGTATCTGAATGTACCAGAAACTGCACTGGCCCTCAGGAAACTTATACTCTAGTGCAGGAAACAGGCATTAAATAAATATTTACGCAGGTATTTTTAAATCCAGCTGTGGTTAATGCTGAGAAAATAATATGGACGTAAGTGCCACTGAGAATGTACCTGAGAGTCCTAGCTTAAATTTGCGGAAAGGGAGAGAAGGGTGATGAGGGAGAGAGTGTCAGCGGTGACATAGGTGCTGATTAAAGGATGGGTGGTGTGAGTTAGCTGGAAAGGGTTGGTACATGGGAAACAGGAGGGGTGAGGAGTGAGAAGAAAGCACGCATGGGAAACGTCCTACAGTGACATGTCACTGAGAGGTACTCGCTGACAGAGGGTGTGTGAACGTAGAGGTAATTCACATAAAATGAAGCGGGAGAGATGCTCTGAAGCTGAGATCCAAAAAACAAAGTGGGAGGATGTTAAGTTTGCAGTTGACACATGCAGATTTATGCCTTAGATGGTCACTGAATTCAGTGTGAACAGAAACTGAGAGGAGGGAAGACAGGCACAATAACAGACAGGGAGAAGATTTTGTGTTACAGTTTAGATACGGGATCCCAGCAGATACTCGAGGGATGAAATCCAGGATGTATACACAACTTCAGGTCTGAAGCTCAAGGGGCCACGCCAAGTCACTGATGCACAGGTAAAAACCCTCAGTGCAAGGGTGGGTGGCATAATGGAGGGAGAGAAACTTCTTACAAATAGTACAGAATGAGAACAAAGAGGCCTTTTGGCTTTGTCCTGACAAACTATTACATTTTTTTAAATGTTTATAGGAAAAAGGTTTAGTAAAGGAAATCAAAGGCACATGATGAAACTAAGGAAAAATGAATAAGAGAAGGGAAGAAAAAGTTTCTATTTGTAGCTGCAAGGTTAGGCAAGACAGAACAAGACATCTGCATTTGCATGTACTAGTCAGTACTAGTGACTAGTGGGGCAACTGCAATAGAATAATAAAAGCAAAAGCCTGAAGAATATGAGCGAGTGAAATGAGCATGAAGACAGATGTGGAGAACCTTTTTCATGGAAGTTAGGGCAGAGAATGATCAGAAAGAAGGAAAATCCAGGGTTTTTCTGGGTTGTTTATATTGAAGTTCAGAGTATGTCTATATTTTTATATGTGATATAAATATGCAGGTAGAGGGACAGGATAATATATAGATCGGGAGTGGCCTGGGGAGGATGGATAATTGATATCTTGAGGTTCCTAGAAGGGATTTATGACCCATGTCTCATGTGGATCTATACTAGAAAGAAAAGGAAATCCCCCTCTATGGAACTATGAATTCTTAGCAGGACCTCGCTCTGCTGAGTCCAAACTAACACTGAATTCACCATCTCTTGCAAATTTTCAGATCATAGCAAAATGAAATTGGAAATCAACCATAGGCAATACATTAACCACTGTTAATTTCTTATTATCCTGCTTTGAAACTGTGTATCGTTGTTTCTATTTCTTTTTTATGTTTCTCTCTTTAAAATAAAAATTTTAAAACAAGAAATCAACACAAAAGAAACCACAAAAATATGTAAGTACATGGTATTAAATACTACACTCTTGAATATTTAATAGGTCACAGATGAAATCAGGTAATATTCTGGAAGATAAAACAGGCAAAATTCTTGAAGACATAGCCATTAATAGGGCTTTCTAAACATAACACTGATTGTAGAAGAATTAATATCCAGAATCAACAAATGAAATTATATCAAGTTAAAAAGCATTTGTATGGCAAAAGAAACCCCCAACCAAATGAAGAAGTAACCCACAGGATGGAGAAGAATTTTTGCCAGCTACTATTCATGACCATCTAGAATATATAAAGAACTCAAAAAATTACTAGATTTTACAAAATAAAACACCAAATCAAAAAATGGACAACTGAAATAGGCACTTCTCAAAAGAAGTACAAATGGCCAATAATTACATGAGAAAATGTCAGCATATTTGGCCATTAAAGAATTTCAAATCAAAACAACCTTGAAATTCCATCTTACTTCAGTAAGGATGACTATTAGCAAGAACTTAAATAAAAAATTTGTGGCAAAGTTGTGGAGGAAAAGGAACCCTTCTACACTGTTGATGGGAATGCAAACTAATACAACCACTATGAAAATCAGTATGGAGACACCTCAAAAAGCTAAAACTAGCAGTTCCACTAGGCCCACCCTTTTCCTCTTGTAGGTATATTTCTTGAAAGAGTTATAAAGACATCATACTGCAGTGGTACATGCATACTCACATTTATAGCAGCAATACTCATAATAGCTGAATCTTGGAAATGGCCTATATGTCCATCAGCAGATAAATGGATAAAGAAAATATGATATATCTCCATGGTGGAGTATTAAAGAAAATGTGGTATATCCACAATGGAGTATTATGCAGCCACAAAGAAGGACAGGTTTGTAGAAATCTATTCACTGTAGAAAAATGAATGGATCTTAAAATCATAATGCTAAATAAGATAAGTCAAGTCAGACACAGAAGGCTAACTACCACATGGTTCTCTTATTAGAATCCAAAATATAAATAATTTACAGAGTAAAATCAAAGACAGACAGCAGGAAACTGGGAAGTAGACTTTGTGGAGATAGGAAGATGATCTAAGGAAGGGCTGCACGGGAGGGGAGGGGGCATAAAAATGGTTACCATGTGATATATGTATGCCCCAATTCCCCAAGCTACATGTAACTGTTATGCACTGCAAACATGTACCACCAATAAAAATAAAATAAAAGGCAAAAAAATGAATATTCAAAAATATCCTAAACACTTATTAAACAAACTATGTACTGAATCCTTCTCAATTGTTATAATAGTTTTACAATGGTCTAGTCTATACATAATCAAATTTATAGATACTTGCCTTCACTTTTCAAAACTTTCCTAAGCATTCAACTTTGCTTCTTTATAAATGTCCCCTTTTCACATTTGTTACTCAAATATGGATCCCCTTTGGGGAGAGTTCAGTTTATGTTACACTGAGTTAAAGTAATTACAAGAAGTGTAACTGACATAAGAACCTGCTATCGGGTAAAATAGTCAGAAAACCACACAATTTGACTAGTAGTAGCAGAACTGCAGGGCACAGTGGAGAAGGGCCCCTTAGTTTTGAATAATCAACATGCCAGGGACTTGGCCAGAGTATTTGGCAGAGGATATGGAGAACACCAGCTTATCTTACAATTAGTTAAGAGGGGAACTGTTTTAAATACTACTCTCTATATATCCAAATGGGTTGAAATCAGGATATCCATGAGATAGTCATATACCTACGTTCATACCAGCATTATTCACTGTAGCCAAAGGCATAAGACAACTCAAATGTCCATTGACAGATCAGTGAATAAACAAAATGGGAGTATAATCGTACAATAGTTTTGTTTAAAAATGGAGGAAATCCTATCACAATGCTATAAGTAAACCTTGAAGACATTATGCTGCATAAAGTAAGCCAGACACAAAACTATGATAGTACAGGATTAATATTCAAATTAAATTAGTATTCAAGTTAGCAATGAAAATAAAACAATGATTACTAGGGGTGCGGGAGGAAGACAATGTGGAATTGTTCAGAGAACAGAGTTTCAGTATTGCGTGGTTTACTTTTGGAAAAGTTTTGTGCAGCTGTTAGAAATATGAATACAGTTAACATTACTGAACTGTATGTTCACTTAAAAATGATTAGGATGGTAAATTTTGTGCTATGTGCTTTCACCTAAAAAGAACTTTTAGAAGATTTTTAAAACCTAAGTCAGTAATCCATGTAGATGTGAGCTAAACTTTTCCTATTCATGAAATAAACATTTTGCCTGTGCATGTTTCTTATAAAACACTATTCAAAGACTACATAAACTGTAGTATATCCAGACAATGAAATGTTATTGAATGCTTAAAAAAAAGCTATCAAGCTATGAAAAGACTTATAGGAAATGAGTTCATACTAATAAATGAAAGAAGACAATCTGAAAAGCCTACTTAATGTGTACTTGCAACTGTAAGATATTCTAGAAAAGGCAAAGCTATGAAGATAGTAAAAAACAATTGATGTTTGCCAGGGGCTAGGTAAGAAGGGGGGATAAACAGAGGAAATACGAGCATGTTAGAACAACGAAACCATTCTGTATGATACTGTAATGTTGTGTCCCATGTCATTAGAATATACATGAAGAGCAAGCCCTAATCTAAACTACAGACTTTGGTGCTAATCTGTTAGTGTAGGTCCATCAATTATTAAAAACCATACCAATCCGCTGTGGGGTGTTCATAGCCCAAGTGTATGATGATTTATTTTATGTGTCATCCTGACTTGGTTAATGAAACCTATACAGCTAGCAAGTAAAATATTGTTTCTGGGTATGTCTATGGGGGGGGGGGGTTGTTGAAGAATTAGCATTGGAATCAGTAAATTGAATAAAGAATACCTGCCTTCACTAACATAGGCTTGCATATTCTAATCATAAATAGAACAAAATCTTGGGAGGAGCACGGATACTTTCCTTGAGCTGGGACACCCATCTTCCCTTGGACACTGGTACTTCGGGTTCCCTGGTTTTGGGACTCTGAGTCCTAACACTACAGCGTCCTGCTCCCAGCCCTTCCCAGTACTTAGACTACAGCCTTGGACAGGTAGCTACTCTACTGGATTCACTGGTTCCAAGGCCTCTAGTGCTGACCTGACTTGCACCAGGACTTCTCCAGGCCCTCCAGCTTGTAAACAGTGCATCATGAGACTCCTCAGCTTCCATAATCACAAGAGCAAATTCCCACAATAACTCTCATATGTATCTACATGTATCCTGTTAGCTGTTTTTCTGGAGAGCACTAATTCTGTGCTCTCCAGAATAGGAAACATTTGTGTGTGAATAGGAAACATTTGAGAACTCTGCACTTTCTGCTCAGTTTTGCTGTGAACCTAACACAGCCGTAAATTTAAAACGAAAAGCAAGTGCTATATCTAATAGATATTACCAAAAATAACCAGCATTCAGGATGACTTTCCTGAGTGTTCACTTATTAAGCATTCTGAAGGAATAATGCTCAATCCCCAAATTTCCATACTTGAGTGAAGTTTTGGGGATAAGCACTGAAAAATTATTACTAAATGATAGGAACGCTTGAGAACTCTCCAACTCACATCACGTGCAGAGCACAGTCCTTCGCTCTTTTTTGGACCCAAGAGTTTCTTCATGTTTTCCCTTACGTTCTCTTTTCTCTGTTGTCTGAAAGTTTTCTCCTGATCACACAGAGCCATACTGAATCGTAGGTCAGGGCATGAGCTGTGATATAAAACAAAGTGATAGCTGGTTATGAGCCAGTATTTCCATTTGTCTTTCTTTACATGCAGTGAACTCCCTCAAGTTCCCAGGTACAAGCTGACCACCTCCCTCAATCCATTTCCCAGGACGGGACCTAAATTAGAGTACAAAATAACGGCAATTTCAGAGCAACATGTTCCAAACCATGTTTTCTGGGGAGAACACAGGAGTCTGAGATGTTTAGAGAAGACAAACACGCAAACAGCCCCTAATAACTTGAATATTCGGATAATAAAGACTTCAGGAGCTGCTTCAGTTAAGAACCCTGTTTACTTTTCTTTGGCACAATATTTCCCAATCTGACTTGACCAGGAATTCTTTCCCCTGCTCATAACCACACCATCATCAACAGTCACTACCACCCCTGAGAACCTGGGTTCTGTGGACACACTTGCAGAAATACTGCCCTGATAAATTGCTTTGTCTGACAGATGCCCCTCTCTGACAAAGAAGGAAACTTCTAATAGAACTTGAAATGACCACAGATGTGTTGACAGCCAAAAGACTTTGGAGCCCTTTAATTGTATACATTCTTCCTTTTCTAATAATGGCAGCAGCAATTTCTCAGAAAGCTACACAAACTGAAAGTTGCATTAGATGGAATGTGTGTACCGCCGCAGCAATTACAGGAGTAAACATGACTCATTATTGTACAAGTATCATCATATATTATAGCTCTACACACTGGAAAACTGAAGCTCTGAAAGGTTAGAGCCACATAGTAGGTATTTGGTGTGCTTTCCCCCAAGCAACAAGGCCTCACAAACAAGACATCCTAATGTCCTAATGCTGAATAGCAAATATCAGCCACTGAATTTAAAAATACTTTGAAAGGAATCAGCAACCTATATTAGAATGTTGGAAAGTGAGTAAATACAAATGCAGAAGCACAACAGTACCAATAAGAATACTGTCTCTTTACCATTCATAAAAGTAAATCTTCCCCTTAATAATGAAGCTATTTTGTCTCATTGTTTGTTACTTCCTGGTAAAAAACAGAATAAGAGAAGAAAGTGCAAAATGTTTGACTTATATTCTCTATAGTGACATAGGGTCATTACAAAATATTTTAATTAAAAAAAGTTGGAATAATAAAGCTGAAATTTAAAACAGCCATTTTTCTAAGGAGTAGAAAAGGCAATCAAACTGAGAATTTACAGGAACAACTTCATGAGTGAGATTTATTTCCTAAAGTGGTTAGAAGATACCTAACCAAATATATCATAAAAAATAGAAAACATTTAGTCCAAGACTAGACTTAAATATAGATACACTATTTTGCTTTTTTGCACCTTTGTTGTATACTTTTCATAATATTTAAATAATTATATAAATGCTTTGATGTACTATAACTTAATGATTATTTTCCTAGCATTGAATAATATGAGTAAATAATCTTTTCAAAATTTACAACTGCATCTCTTAATGAACCAGAAATACCATTACTAAGATTAAAGGTAACGCACAGTTTATTTGTAGTGCTCATGTGGACTTCAAAATGTTTTACAAATTTATATTCCCAAAATGAATATATGAGAACAATAGTATTATGTTTCCTTCTGTAGGACTGGAAGAGAGATATTTAAGAATTTTTTTAAATCATAAATTTCATAACAGTTTTGGGTTAATTTGCTGGTGAAATAAAATACTTATTCTTATATTTCTCATTATTCATTATATTTCTGTTTGGTGAGTTAGCTAATTTGTTCTTAGCAAAGTAATGATTGAAATAGTTTTTGAAATGATCATGCATCACAAAAGAGAATATGGCCCAGAGATTTTGTGGTTTCTTCTCTTTTTCTGTATTTTATCAGGAAGTAATAACTTCCCTCAAAATATCACAATTATGTTTTTTAATTCTGTAGCAAATAAGAGATATCTACAGAAAAGCAAATCAAGTTAATACACTCCTATATATTCAAAGCCACTGAAATTATTTCACGTATATAAAGTGTCATCTTTAACAAAACATAATCACAGGATCATTCAAAATATTTTCCTTCTCGTTAAGTTAAACACACTTACCAAACTTCAAGAGACATCTCCAGAATCATTTCAGTAACCTAAAAAGACACATTAATCAGATTAGGTCATGAATTTGATGTGTTTTATATAATGCAAATGAAGTCAAAATCAATTTAAGCGCCACAATAGCTGAAATATAGAAACAGCTTCCGTGCCAATCAACATGAAAGGATAAAGAAAATGTGATATATATGTTCAACTTGAGGAAAAATAAAATTCTACCATCTGCAGGAAAATGGGTGGATCTTGAGCAAAAATAAGTACAACTCAGAGAGACAAACATTGCAAGTTCTTCCTACGGAGAAGCTAAGTGATGCCAAGAAAGGAGGAGGAGACTGCTATTGGTCAAGAGGAAGGGAATAAGGTGGGTAAAGGTGGGTACGGGGGTGGATACGAGCAAAATGCATTACATACATTGAAACTCCCCCAAAATGTAAAACCAGAGGAAGAACGGGCCACAAGGGTCAATGGAGGAGAGTAAAACTGATTGTCATATGTTACGTATATGTATGGGTCTGTGAAAATGAGACACATTATCCTGTAGAACCATGAAAAAAGTGAAAAAAAATTTACTATCTGATCATATTAACCTAACAATTCCAGTTTTCCTAACTGGAAAAGTAACACAACTCCATGAAGATCCTAAACTAGAGATGCGTTTTAATAAGTAATGTGTTTGCTTTGCTATTATCTAAGCCTACCTAATAAATCATTTTAGCAATCATAAGAATCACTTCTGCCCGTCTGTTTTCTGCCCTCATCAAAACAAAGTAGTTTAGTCTACAATTACTATTCACAAGACATTTCAAAATGCCTGATATAAAAATAAAATATATTATGAGGGGTCTGCTACTTATAAGTTACTGCAGATCATTCAAAGGCCATATGGTCATGAAGTTAAAGAAGTGCTGCAAGAAGTCTGCCTGTGTGCTTTTGTGACATGTGGCGCTCTAGTCAGGAGGAAACAGAATACCCATTCACAGAACGCAGCAGGACCCAGCGTCCCAACACACTGTGGGTAGCTCAAGAAACAGCCACCAACAGCATCTGGAAACTCAGGCTTTACTTTTGACTATTATTTGAGTCAATCAAACATTTTAAGGTGGACTTTTGCCAATAAGGTAATTTTTGTTTAGCAGAAAAGAAACTAATATCTACAGAGTTAAAAGAATATGAACGAAATCCCTACCCAGACAATACAAAGTCAATGTATGTACCCATATATAAGTCAATTGTGCAAAAATTCTCAATGCTATTCTTGGTGTTCGTATTGGATAATGTAACTTTACACTGATATGAGAACCAATTAAAAATGCTTTAAAAGTTGTTGTGCAATTTTAAGTTTAATATACCGGTTACCATATGAACATAATATACTGACTTTTTCACTACCTTCAGATAGAACAGAAGTAGGATATGCCTCTTAACATGTGAAGAGAACATCTTATGAACCAGTTTAAATATTATAGATGAGTGATTTTGCAGTCTTTTATATTTCAAGTGGTAGAAAAAAACATAATAGGAGCTTTCCAAAAGATTCTGCAAGTCCATCGATGATCCTCAGTAAGAGTTTTATGAGTAAGAAAAGTGAATTGAAATCATTTTAAATCATCTGCACAAAAACTTGCCTCTCCTACTAAACTAAATTCTTAAGTAGGTTTCTAATACTAGCTCATTGCTTAGTATTTAGCTTTCAATAGATAATACTGAGTTACCAGGCATGTGAATTTGAGAAAAAACACATAAGGAAATCTTGTTATAAAATATCCCATCTCTACTATAGATAAAATCTTAGGATGGTATGACTGAAACAGCAGTTTTAAAATTCTATCAATCCTTATTCATCAAAGAAAACATAGAAATTACTTTTTTAAAGTTGATAAAACAATTAAGAACCCATGAAGAAATGGAATTATATGTGCCCAGAAGAGCAGTGCTTCATTCTAAGTTTAAAAAATTAGAATTTAAATGACTGGCTAAAAAGGAATTGATGAAGGGGCTGGGGATTTAGCTCAGCGGCAAAAGCGCCTGCCTGGCAAGCGCAAGGTTGTGAGTTCAGTTCCTGGTACCGGAAAAAAACCAAAAAAAAAAAAAAAAAAAAGGAATTGATGAAACTGTCTTCATCTATTCTACAGTGAAAGCACAGTGTAGATCATATCTCAAAATGTCTAATCCCAATTGCAAAATTTCAACTGGATTCTGTCCCAAACAGTGCTCAGAAACATTTTATACTGAATATAGTTATTGTAGATATTTAATAAGAAAACCAGACAATGGTAAAACATAATCTGCTTTTTTTTTAAGAAATTCCCGACAGCTATCATTAAAATTAAGCTAGACTTAATGTTTTTATCTCCAGAGAGCAAAGCCACCAAGGATAATTGGAAATTAAATGCATACTATTACAACTCAGCTCAGTTTTTTAACAAATGGAAAGTTCCAAAGCCAAAATAGGCTTCTATTCAAGAAAAAGTGGGCTTCCCAATTGATAGGTCCCTAAGTAATTTATAATTTAAGAGTCGATACTTAAGTGTACCTAAAGCCTACTTGTGCTGACACCCCAATACATAAATAAAAGGAAAATCAGCCATGTAGTTGATGGCTATATATGGTTCTTTTAAAAATTGGTTTAGACCTTCGTGATCCTTTAACTCTTTAAGTAAAGACAGGATGAGAGGTGACAGGAGTTTTCTGTCCTTCTTGAGTGTGTAAGATGTGTTGCCGTAAGTCTTGTTGCATGGATGGGATCCTCACTTCCTTAGGTTGCCCCAAAGGATCACAAACAGGCAGGAAGACATTTTAAACTCTCCCACCTGATGCACTGTGTTCAGACATGCTGAGAAGTCTGACACTCACAATCTCTCTGCATCTTTTACCTGGAAGGTGTCATTCAGATAAAATAACAATAAAAGTATGTACTTCCTGGGAGGCATTAACCAATTACTATAAACTGCTTCCCACACATCGCACAAAGCATCTCTGCATTACAGGATTCCATGCTGACTGGATTAGCTGGGCAATTAGAAAGGAGGGTGACAAAATCTCCCAGGCTCTCCCCAGTCCCATAAGGCTCAGCAAGGAGCAGAACAAATTAGAACTCTACTTCTTTGGAATTATAAATTCACAAAGTAGGCTATGCCCATGATGGTGGAAAACAAAAACACCTTCTTTGGATTCTACAATGGAAAACACTTTGGATACTCCTGAGGGAGGTGTTCAGTTGGAGGACATGGGAGAAATTAGAAGAGAAATTATTTTTAGAAAAATTCACTTTAAATTTTAAAATAATGTTTAAAGTGTCTAACCCATTAATTCTCTTGTAAATTTTCCAGGGTTGTTTCAAAATAATGAAGCTAAAATAATGAACATAGTGCCTGGCAATAAGGAAGTATTTTTAAATTATTATTACATAAAACATATATACAGTCAAATAATTTTAAATATGACAATCTTTCCTACTCGTAAAAAATTCTTCAAATGCATCACACATTATTTTATATACTCTGACATTTACATTGTTTCTTTTCAATAAACATTGTTTTGAATTCTGATCTCTGAGCCAATTTACTCATGTTTTTAAGGTAGAAACACACAGCAAATAACATTTTGGTTCAGAAATTGGCTCTTTTCAAAGGAATTACCTATTTTCTTCTAGCTCTGTATTTACATGACCCGTACAAGGTAATAGAAAAATGATATTTTAAAAGTAAAGGTCATGGTTACTAAAAATAAAATTTTTACTAAAAATAATTTTTCCATACATGTAACTCCATCTCATGAACAAAGAACCAGTGTAAATCTGACAAGGAAGAGCTTGGGAGCAGAGTAAAACTTACAAAGCGGACAGTACAAGCAGGATCACAACCACACAGTTTTCTGTGTTTAAAATTGAATCACACATCAACACAAGCATTTTCATATACACAAAATCTGAAAGTCAAAATTCATACTTCTCGCCAGGAATCATCTAATCTGTCAGTCAAGAATTCAGGACAGTTGTGTCCCAAAACCCAGACAGCCTTAAAAAATTTGAAAGGTTAAAAAATGCTTGACTCTGTTCTACTCTGTCACATGTTTCCTCTTTACTTTTGATAGTAATCTCACATTTTAAGGTGGTTTTTCCTAATGTGGACATCAGTGGAAATTACAAAGAGTTTTCATATAATAAACTAGATTGCCTGGGATATAGCTCAGCAGCACAGCGCCTGCCTGGCAAGCGCAAGGTCCTGAGTTCAATTCCCAGTACCAGAAAAAACCACCAGATTGCCTGCAGCATTATTATCAAACCTCTGTACTATCTTTTTCTCCAAATGGAAATCCTTCAATCTCTCTAGCTTTTCTCTCTTAAAATATGAAAGGAAATGTGTTTCGTTACTCCTTCTAGAACATTTCCCAAGTTTTGAGCACCTCACATAAGCACATTTGTTTATATTCTTACCCAAAAATTATTCAAGAATCCATGGCTGGATATTCAAATGTCATAAGCTGGAGGTGTTCTACCCTCTGATAGAACTTATCATTCAACAAAGGTCCCCTAAGTATGCCAGAGCATTTGAAAATGACCTCTAATTTAAAAGGTACAGATTGCAGAAGTATGAACAACAACAACAACAAACACCTGAATTTCCATTGTTAATAACTAAAGAAAAATGATTTTTTTTGTTTGTTTGTTTTGTTTTTTTTGTTTTTCTCTGGTACTGGGAACTGAACTCATGACCTTGCACTTGCCAGGCAGGCGCTTTGTCGCTGAGCTAAATCCCCAGCCCAACTAAAGAAAAATGAAATCTCTTTTAAAACCAGGAATTGTTTGACCCACATTTGAATTCTCTAGAGTGAATGCCTGATGGCCTTCATATCTTAGCGGAAGATCTCCCAAATTTCCCATGATGTTACACCCATCACTTAGGATGGGATCATATGTTGATAAGCTCATAAATTGAAACTATAGGTTAAAATGCATGGAATATACCTAACAACCTCAATGCCATAGCTGAGGAAACCAGAACATTGTACGTTCTTTGTTTCTTCTGATGACAGTGTGGCTAAGTGACAGCTCTGGAGCTGCCTAGCACCGTGAAGAAGGTACCATACTGTACCAAGGTACCTAGCACCATGAAGAAGTACCATACTGCCTATGGCTAGCTTGAGACTAGATCAAACTTCCAAGTCAGAGGTATGGCATCTACTGAACGTGTATCACTTTTGCACTATCTTTAAACTGGAATATTTTAAGTTGAACCACCTTAAACTGGCAACCATCTGTGGCTGTCTTGTTTTCCCTCCAACCTCTCCTGTGCCCATTTAACTTCCCTAAACTATAGTCTTTGTCATCATACATCCATACATAAACCCCCCAATGTAATCATCCTGATGCCACCCAAACATTCTGAACTCACTATCAAAACTTTCCTTCTTCTCCTCTACAGAACTACCTTATTCATCTTCAAGTCATAATCATGACTAAAAACCAAAAAAATGCAGTCCACTAAAGTAGACAAATGCCACAGAAGTCATGAAACATGGCTATTTTTAAACAATAATACTAACTTCTAAATAAAGATGCAAATTAAAACACAGTGTAACCCTACAGGCTAAAAATTTTGGCCAAAACAAACTTATTTGATCCAGAGAAATAAATGTGCATAATCTTTCTGACTTCAAAACCATTTTCATGGTTCTTTTGAAGGGGGTTACTTTGTTTACTCAAAACACACAAAATCCCTTTCTTCTTTTTTTTTTCTTTTTTTTTTTGAGATGCAGTGTCCCCATGTAGTTCAGGCTGCCCTGGAACTCACTATGTAGCCCAAGCTGGCCTCAAACTTGCAGCAATCCTGCTACCTCAACCTCCCAAGTGCTGAAATTACAGGTGTTTAAAACACTGTAAATTATTAAGATCTGATGTCTTTTCACTTTAAAACATGGTAATGTAGCCCAACACCATATTTCATACGAAACTAGAGCATTCTGAACATGGCAAGCAAGTGATCACTTAATTTATAGGCTCTACTTGTACTTAAATAACAAATTTATTTTTGTCACCAAGTTCAAACAATTAGGCCTAATATCTAGTTAAGTTTCATGAAGCACACAATACATGTTCGTGTCTGGTCAGTCACAATTATAATAAGAATATCTAATATTTATTTAATGATTGCTGAGACAAGCACTGTGTTAATAATTCCCATGTATTAAACTATTTAATCATACCCACGGCTCTAGGAAGGAGGTATTATACCTAAAAGAGAGAAAAAATAACAGGCCCAACATCACACAGGTAACTGTGGGCATAATCATGATGCCCACCCAGGTACAGGTCCTGGACTCTCAGCCTGGGATGAAAGCAGTTGCCTTCCTCACCTTCACGCAGATGATGGCTATGAAGCTCTCTAAACTCTGACTCCAACAGCCTAACTAGACTTTCGGGATGCTACCTGGAAAACAAAAACTGCTAACTTAATTCCAGGGCTGATTTTTCTCCCTTGAAAAACAGTCTAAAGACTGGGGATTTAGCTCAGCGGCACAGCGCCTGCCTGGCAAGCACGAGGGCATGAGTTCGATTCCCGGTACCGGGGCCATGGGGTAGGGGGAAAACAGTCTAAACTAAAGCTGAGAGATAACGCACAATCTGAGGAAGAGCTGGGTCCGCTGTCAAGTTCTACTTTCCAGTCTTAGCTGGTCCTCACTGCTACTTAGCAATTGTGAGGCTTGCCTCTTGCCGATGCACTGAAGCTATTGCCACACTGGCAATATTTCATCAAGTCACCCGCGTGGCCTTGCCCCTCGCTTTCCACAGGAGCCGGCTGCCCTGAGCTGCATCCATCTTTCCTTTTTTAAATGCAGTGTTCTCTGTATCCTACCTTCTTACTTTTCGCTTGTTCATGCTGCTGAGAAGGAAGCCAAACCCTTTTTTTGCTCTCAGGTTCACCCTTACCTGCTCACAGACCTTCTGTGACTCACTGCTATTGGTGAGATAACATCCAAATTCCTGCATCCTGCCTGTAAGCCCTCCTGGGGTCTGATCTACTCTCCCTGTTCTTTCTCCACGCCTGAGAGCTCTGCTCCATCACACTGACTGAGATGCTCTTTTCTGAATATGTCCTGTCCCTCCTGGTCTACAGCTTCCATCAGGCTGCTCTGGCTCTTTAGTGACTCACCTCCACCACACCCTTTCAGGGCAAGCCCCAGTCCTTGACATCCACTGTAGCCCATCATGGCCTGCACCCTGACTTCCACTGAACTGCTTTATCTCATCTCCTGCCCCTCTCACCACTGCACTTTCTCAGCACCCCAGCCTTGCTCCCCTCCTTGCTGTTACTCAGCATGCCAAGCAACCTGAGCTTTAGGGCTCTATGAGTCACATTTCCTTTGCAATAACCAAACACCTGAAGCAAGGTGCTCCATAAAGAAAGCAGGTTCACTTAGCTCACAGTTTCAGAGGCTGAAATTCTCACATGGAGCAGCCTCACCAAATCAGTCTCTCTGGTGTGGGCCGCATGGCAGATGGCTTCACGGTGTGGAAGTGTAGGCAAAGAGAGAATCACATGGTGAGAGACAGGAAGCCACAGACCTGGAGGAGGTCAGTGCATTTACAACAACTGGTTCTCCCAAGTACAAGCAACGCTCTCCACAAGACCAGCACTGATCTCCAAGGACAGCGCCCACAGTGATGAGTTACAGCCCATCAGGCCTCACTTCTTAGAGCCGTCTGCACCTCCCAGCACCTTCACACCGGGGAAAAGCTTCCAACACAGGAACCCTGGAAACTCTTATTCAAACCTTAGCAACAGCCTTTCTACATGGGTGTCTCTGCTCTCAGATATCCTCCGAGACATCCATTGTCACCAACATCCTCGGCACTGCATCTGGGACCCACGTCATGCACATATCCATACTCCCTCATTCGCCTTCTCTGGGTTATTTAACACTTGTCATAATTACTATCTCGAAAAACTAAACTTGACTTATTTAGTTTGCTTTTCATTGATTTCACCACCGAGAATATCCACTCAAGCTGGGCATGGCGGTGCACACCTGTAATCCCAGCACTTGGGAGGCTGAAACAGGAGGATCGTTGAGAGTTAGAGGCCAACCTGGGCCACCAAGTGAGCTCAAGGCCAGCCTGAACTGCATAGCGAGACCCTGTCTCAAACAGACAAAAAAAAAATCAAAAAGAGAATATCCACTCCAGGAAGGCAGCGCCTCTTGTCTGTTCACTGCTAAAGAGCGTCTGCAGAGTACGTTGGGGGGCTCTGTAGTTGCTTCTTATAACTCTCGATCTCTCCACAAACTAACGGAACTATTCCTTTGGGACTTGAGGTCATCATATAAAAATCCTGAACACTAGTTAGTGCCATACCGCGTGCTTAGGAGTGAAGCATGCTGTTGTCTACGACTTGCTCGAGTGAATAGACAGAGAAGTATGTGGAAGGCAAATATAGCAAAATTCTAACTGTAGAATGTACATGGTTAGTCCATGGCTGTTCATGATAGAAATGCTTCAACTTTTCATACAGGGGAAAAATTTCGTAATAAAATTTGACGGGAAAATTACAGTGCTTGAGGGAGGTCTTCTCTGACCATACAAAGTCTAGTTGCCCCCAACTATCCTTTACCTCATCTCTCTATTCTATTTTCTAAGTGTTCACCCCTAGTTCATGCAGCATGAGTCTTCTTTTACTCATTGTTGCCAATTTATTCTGCTGTCTGTTGACACTGATCTCAAGGCATGGTGACTTACTTTACCACAGGTGTGAATCTCCCCACTTCTACTGCCCATTCTGAACTCCACTTCCACCCCAGAAGAAAGTGATCACAAGAACTTCCTGCACCTTACTTTTTACATTCCTTATACAAAAATCATGTCTAGCATACATTTCTCGATGTTTGTAAAGTTCATGACTAAAATCGATTTAGCTGGGGTCAGGGTAAACGTGAGGAGGGTGTCTACTGGCACTGCACAGAAGACATGCTCCCTGGAGAAAACGGAAGGACCTCCAGGGAGAGCATGCCTAGGGTGTCCTCCGGGTCCCCGGGTCGTCGGGTTACAAGCATGGGTCTCCCGACCTTTAGGATTTTAGTTTGCAGAAGAAAGAGGAAAAATTAAACAAGTAAAAATAACTGAGTCCCAGGAAACCCCGCAGATAATTATCATGGAGAATCAATTGAGAAAGAAGTAATAAGATAACAATATATGGAAATAACCTGAATATCATTATTTATGATCTTTTACTGCCTTGGCCTTAATTTAATACAAATATCATTTGAATGGCATTTAATTTATAGTAATGTATATAATACATTGATACATATAAATGTTTAAATATATGTAAATATTTAATGTATAGTAATATATGTAATAGGAAATACATGTATTTATAATAATAATAGTAAATACATATTATAGCAACATTCAATTTTGGAATAATTTGCATTTTCCATTTTGCTTTGAGTTACTTTACTCATTCTCTCTCTTTGAGTTTACCCATTCCCTCTCCCTCTCTTTTTCTCTTCTTTATCTTTCTCTCTCCTCCCTCTCAGACCTTTCATTTGGTTTATCTTTGCAAATGTCTTGTATAGAGTTACCAACCGAGTTCAAAGCCATTGCCCAATTCTCAGTCTTATCATTTGGAACAAGAAAAGAGATTAATGCCTCAGTATTTTGTGTAATACCTCAGCCAAAGTTTATAGATAACAGAATAAAAATGATTGGGTGTAGAAATAAAAAAGAAAAAAGTTTCCCTTTGACAAAGTCTGCAAATAAGTATTTTTCAGGTGTTAAATCCAGCTTTAGAAAACAGTTTTGTGGGGATATAGCTCAGCTGCACAAATGCCTGCCTGGGAAGCGCAAGGCAATTTCTGGTACCAAAAATTTAAAAAAAGGTTTTTTGCCAGGCGTGATGGCACACGCCTGTAATGCGAGCACTCGGGTGGCTGACGCAGGACCAGCCTGGGCTACAAAGTGAGCTCAAGACCAGTCTGAGCTCCACAGCAAGACCCTGTCTCAAAAAGACAAAGTAACATAAAATAAAATAGGCTTTTATCTGCCATTACTTTGACAAATAATTCTGCTGTGTTACTTACTTCATTAAAAATAAAAGGAACTTCTTTCTTCTCTCCCACTTTCATAGAAGACAGAGGAAACGTTGCTGTCCCTAGAGTTTCGTCCATGATGTAATTGGCATCCATTAATGTGATCTATAAAGCAAAAGGTAGAAGGACAGTACAGATTTGCAGGGATCTTTGGAAATTATATGTGAAATTTCTACTCTTTTTTTTAAATGAAAGCTGTCAAATACTATTTAACAGTTCCTGAGGGCTTGCCTTTTTCTTTTCTTTTCTATTAGGGCTCAAGCCCAGGGCCTCGCCCATGCCAGGCAGGTACTCCACCACCAAGCTACCCACTCACCCCCAGAAGCCCTCAATATCTAACGCATAACAAAGCCTTTATCTTTTCCTTCCCAGTACTACATATGCACATCAAATACGTTTTTTTGGTCCAGGGATATAGCTCAGTGGCACAGTACTTGCCTGGCAAATGCGAGGTCATGAGTTTGATTCCTGGAATCAAAAAAAAAAAGCTATTTTTACATATGCCTGACTGATCCATTCAATTTTGATGTTTCCAAAAATTAGAACTTTATCCCCTTGTATTTTGAAATACAAAAAAAAAAAAATTAATGTAGAAACTCCGTACAATTACATTAGGGAAAATATATTTCCACTACTTTCAAAGGCAACTGAAAATATCTTTAGAGTGTTGTACAAAGGTTTTCCTCTTTATAACAAAAAATATGTTTGCTCCAAAGTATAGGAAGAGCAGTCTCCCCAGCCCTGCTGATAATCCTGAATTTCCCACTGGACGCTCATATTCCTGGAGGTGCACCATTCTAGAAGGTTCTGCACTGTGCTGTCAGCTTACTCCAGTCTCGGGGAAAGAAAAGAAAGGCAACAAAGGAAGAGAATCAAGCATCTCTCTCCACAGGAATGATGACCATCTAACAGCCCACAGATGATTCACTCACCTCCAAAATATTTTCCTGATTAGGATCTAAAATAAATTCAAAGGTCTCATTCCACACAGGGTTGATCTCATTGTTGAAGTGCCGTGTTCTCTTCCTGCTGTCAGGGGTTGTAGAGATGAAAAGTTCCACGTAGGGATCTGGGGTGTCAACTACAGGCAGGAAACAAAATTAGGAGGCAAAAATGTCATCCACAGTGCCTAGCTCGGTTTCCTAATGGACGCTGTCAGGTTGGCTTCAATGAATCTACACTCATGTAATCAGAAATACGATAATGCATAATAGAGGAACATCACAAGGTGTATACCTACTACCTATCATATTCCCTCACTTCACAATAGGCCTGAGAGAGTAACCTTTTGTTAAGTGAATCATGCAGAATTCCTCCATCCACACAGAGGACGTTTTCATGGAAGCCAGCATCTTGGTCCGGCTGCTACACAGTGATAATGATCTTGCTAACTACAGCTAACTACAGAAAGACTTACACAACAGGACTCTGATGGTGACAAGATTAGTTTCAAGATCGTATCTGTCTACACTAGAAAAATCATGTTAGTTACTCTGTTTACCAATCAAAATATGAAAGTTATTGGGAAAAGAACACGGGTGAGTATTCACAGGGTTGGCAGTGTGGTTGTGTGAAGTCAACTTGTATTTATCATAGTGGTATTCAATCAGATGGAAGAGAGGTGTCTACAGAAAATGAAAGATTTTGCTACTGCACGCAGAAGCCCACTAGCTTCAGGCACATGTGCTCCTTTTTAAAACAGAAAGACATAATTGCAAATAAAGACAATATTGAAATTTCCTCCCTTTATATATGAAACAACACAGTGACTCAAACAGTACAAATAATGCTCACTCTGTCTTCAGGATTTCACAGAATCCTGTACTATCTCCCAGTACCACACACATTCTAGTTTCCTATGCAATTACACATCTGCTTTTTCCTACAAACACCTTGAGGGCAAGGATCTTACCTTACCTTTCTGTTTGGAGAATCTAGCAACAGAAAGCACCTACCATAGCATTTAGGTCTGCTAAAATAAAGATTCGAACTTTTTCTTTAAAACACCTTTCTCTGTGTGGCCATTATAATTAATCCCCCAAAACCATTAACTACGTGATGACCACAGAAGTGGTGGTGAGCACTTTACACATCAGGCTCACTGAATCACACATCACTGCAGAGTTAGTGCCTTATTTTAGTGTTGAAGTAACAGGAACTAAGAGATATTATGCAATCTCTCCACTGCCCCGCCGCAAATAAGTACAAGAGCAACCTTTTGAACCCGGCTGTGGAACTGCAGCATTCTCTTAATGACCTCTTTTCAAATTTTTTCTATTTTGTGAAAAAATAAAATTTCATAGTGAAATAACAAAACGTAAAAATAATTCTGCTTCTTCAAATGGTTACTCAGAGTAAAAGACATAAACCAAAAAGATCATCACAAAAAAAGAAACAAACAGGTAATAACACAAGTCTTTCTTTCCAGTGCACTAAGATTAACTAGTACTATAAATGAAACCAAGTAACATCTATGTTGAAATATTTTTAAAACAACGGAATCTGTAATAGAGGGATGGTTTTGAATTTCTCCCTATTTCCTACGTATCGCTCTTCTATTTTGTTCTTCATTTGTGTTTCTCACATAAGAGAAACCACATTTGAGCTTGTGGTCTGACTTATTTCATTTAAAGTTATGTTCTCAGGTTGCATCTCTTTACCTACGATCGCCACCTGTGGATCTTTCTTCGTGGCAGTGTCATAGTACTGTACTGTGTCTAAATGCGCACTAAGCTTATCCATTCATCTGCTGACAGATGTAACTAATAAGGATGAAATCACCAGGTATAGACTGCAGTGGAGAAGCTGGACACAAAGATTTGAGAAGAGGATTGAAAGAAGTCGGGAGTGGGCCAGGGCTGGGGCTAGGTGAGCAGAACAGAGGAGAGGAGAGGAGGGAAAGGAGAGGGAGGAGAGGAAGAGGGGAGAGGCAGAATGAGAGGGAGAAGCAAAGGAAACAAGAAAAATAATAGTTTCTGAACTAGTAGTTGGTTTTCAAGGCAAACTTTTATATCTCTCTTTTCTTTTTTTTTTTTTGGTTTTTTTTTTTTTTTTTCTGGTACCGGGAGTGGAACTCAGGACCTTGTACTTGCCAGGCAGGCGCTAAGCCACTGAGCTAAATCCCCAGCCTCAAGGCAAACTTTTAAAAATATACCTTGGCTGGGTGTGGTGGTGCACGCCTGTAATCCCAGCACTCGGGAGGCTGAGACAGGAGGATTGTTGTGAGATCAGCCTGGGCTACAAAGTGAGCTCAAGGGCAGCTTAAACTGCAAAGTAAGACCCTGTCTCAAAAAGACAAAAAGTAAACAAACAAACAAACAAACAAAACAACAAACAAAACCAAAAACACTTTGTCCTTAGCCATATATACCCCAGAGCATCAAATATTTATTCAATGCCCTTTGCTTAACTTTAAAATACTGCTCAGAGTTCTTTCATTTGATCATCAGATTTTTTAAAATTGTGCTTTTTTTTCTTTTTTTTTTTTTTACCAAAAATAGGAAGATCTACAAATGAAATGTCAGCATTTGGAATTCATTTTGATGTAATTTTTCAGTTTGGAGCTCAAGCAGCATTGGTCAAAGGCAGGGACTCTCTAAAGTAAAGGTGCAGCACAGATGCCTGGAGTTCTTGTTCAAATGCAGGCCCCAGGCGACCATCTCCCATGAACCATGATCATCACACTGTAGTAAGATTAAAAATCTTCATTTTTTTAAAAGTAGTGTAGCTGACACTGATGTAGGTCAGCTTCTGGCCATATATTTGGCATCCTATTTTAGAGAAATAAGCGGTTATTGCAAGTTCTAACTCAATGCTTATATCTCAATAGCACCATGAAAAACAAGCTGTGAAACAAAAAGCTGATCAGGAAGCAATGGTGAGGGGAAAAGGGTCAGAAAGAGAAACATGCTCCACGGTGACTTTCCCATGTCCACAAACAGGAGTGATGGCTCCTTTTCCCGAACCACATTTTTGACAAATTTCCAGTGCCCAGGATTGTCAACTAGAAGTAAACTCCATGTTTAGAATAACACGTGTCAGAAGATTATAAAGAAAAATTCATTTTCCTCTTTTGAGTAAAAATAAATATGTGATCTCATGAATATTCAATTGGCACTTCAAGTTACTGAAAAATGGAGCCCTTAATCATTCTTTAGGGCCAGTGTTTTTCTCCTAGGCCCAATGCTATTGTTTACCAATTTCCCAAAAATCTTACAAAAAAAAAAAAAAAAAAAAGACAAGTAAAAGCCAATCTAGGACAGCTGGGCATGGTGACACGTGCCTGTAATCCCAGTACTCGGGAGGCTGAGGCAGGAGGATCATTGGAAGTTCGAGACAGCCTGGGCTACAAAGTGAGCTCAAGGCCAGCCTGAACTGCATAGCGAGACCCTGTCTCAAAAAGACAAAAAAAAAATCTAGATTAAAAAAAAACTATATGAGAAGAGGAGTCATGCAGATGGCACACATCATTTTTTTCGACAAATCCTTAAGTGCCCACTATATGCCAAGAATGCCCCATCAAGAAGCAATTTGACTTTGATAAGGTGCCAAACTCTGTGCCGCAGATTTGAATTATGAAAGTGAGTCAAATGCAAATAGACTAATTTTAAGGGCAAGGTAAATGGGAGACAAGCAGATACACTACACCAGTGACTAGTGTCTCACTCACCTAGATCATTACACAGGTTAGGCCAAACTGTAGGTGGAAGAAATACCCTTTGAGGCTTGATTTCCATCTTAATCTCTCATGAGAAGGGAGAATTCTTAGACCAAAGAAATAGTAGAAGCAGAAAGTAAAGTTCCTTAGATGGAACCAGATAGGGAAAGGAAGAAGCAAACTGAAATAGAATGTGTCAGTCAGTGATGAAACCAAATGCTCAGCCATCACAGACTCTCAAGGGATCATGGACTTTCACAAGTTCTAACTGACTAATGACACATGCCCTCAGAAAGAGACAGATGCACCACATTCACTTGTCAAAATATTAATAGACTTTTTAAAAATTAGAATATAATTTACCAGCATCATTTTGTATTCTAAGCAATTATTTTTACTTCTAAATAGAGTCAACATTTTAAAATGTTCTGTACAGTGACCATACCACTTCTGCTGTCCCTCCTTTAGCAAGAGATTCAAAGTTAAGATATCAGAGGGTGATGGGCAGTGGAAACCACGGACAGCTGCAAGTTCTGATATCCCAATCTGCATCAGTGCTAATGGTTGGAAGCTAAGAAACACCTGAAGCCGTGGTAAACACTACAGAATGAAGTGAAGTATTTAGTAAGAGGTTAATTGAAAAACAGATTACGGTAATCAGATCTGAGCTCATTTTTGTGGTAAACTCTACAATCATAATCAGTATGGCAGACACTGAACTGGAAGCTTTAAAAAGGGAACTCAGGCCACTGGACAGCAAAGAGCTCAGTGCTTTAGAGAAGTTCCTAGAAATTAAGGAAAAAGGCAAATAGTAGGAAAATAATTTTTCTCCCATATATTTGCTTCCTCTGTATATTTACTTCATGACTAAATGCATATAGTGAAATGGGGTGTTGAATCACTGACTCAGCCTCACCTTATTTCCAACTAATATGTGGTAAAAATACACTGTGTGGGCAGAAACTCTCTGACATCTCATGCTTTTATCTGAAACCTGACAAACAAAAATGACAGGGGTGTGGGACAGAGATTTTTTTATTCCCATTAGGATGACATGAACCTACACGCACCAGAAATGGTTTCAGAATTCTGTGACTGTAAAACTTACTCAGAAAAGGAATTATTAACCTCAGGAGTGTAAGGAGTGCCTGCCTAAAGTAATAACAGGTCTACTTGTCATGTTAGCTTTATCTTGGTAATTTCTTGTTTTTTCAAGATAGGAATGGGTGACAACTTCTAAACTGGTACTCCTTTAAATTCTTCATTTGCTTTTCTCATTTCCACTTCATTCAGTAATGTCTTAAACCCTTGCTGTGATTCTTGTGGTAACCTGCAAAAAGCTCCTTAAAAAAATCACTCTTTTCAAATGTATGTTCAGATATCACCATTCTGAATACCTATAGTTAGTCTACCGATTGTGAGTT